GACTCAAGCGTGGCAACAATTGTGAGGTTGGCCCAAGATCTGGCAGTGTTTTGTTCTGCTTTGCATAAGGTTGCTGTGGGTCGTTGTTGATGGCACCTAACAACAACAACAAACCAAGAGTCTAGGAAACTTTCTAGTCACATTCTTGTTCCCTTTTCTAATTTAGCATGTGTCATCTCATTTTTTTCCTTTCAAAACTGCATGAAGGAGATATTTTTAGTCTTATTTTACATATAAAGAAACTTAGGCTTAAACATTCTACAGATGATCAAATAGCTGGACTGAAAGCTAGATGGGAGTCTAAATTGCAGCTGTTCATGTAAGACATAGATATCCCACAGTTTGTTCCAAATAGTTGCTTTCCGATTTCCAACCTTTAAATTAGAAGAATATTTAATTCAGAATTTAAAAGTATTTTACTTCTCTAATCTCTGGCAAAGAGAAATAGATTGTGGTAAGAGAATCTGAGGACAAAGCTACAGTAGTGACTAGTTCCCAACAGAACATAATTGTTTATAATTGAGAAGCCCTCCAATGTGTTTTGTGAGTAGTCAGAATTTAAACATAGAAGGATGGTCCACGTTGAAAATGAGACTGCAAAGACGCATTTCCTACTGATATTGACAGAAATCAATTCTTTGTAGAGAAAGTTGGTTCCCACAGGAGTCTCAATCAGAGGCATCAGGAAACAAATGATTTAATGTGCAATCAATGTTATGATTTTGTGATGGTGAAGGTGCTGAAAAGGTTATTCTCAGAATAGTTATTATGTTGATTTGCTAAAAGAAGAAGAGATGAAACAGATTTATGTTAGAAGGTTTGCATAGTATTTAGAAAGAGAAAATAGGAAAAGGTACTTCATCAACGTCCACTGAAGCAGGATAAGAATGTCCCGATTCAGGGGAATGGTCCCAGCCTGCCTAATGAAAACGATTGCCAGATGTGAGAAAGGGAAAAGCACCAAGTCTTGTGTGACATATGGGGAATATTTATCCAAAATAGACCTTTAAATCTATGAATAAATAGTTGCTATCCAATTTTCAGAAAAATTAATCACCTCTGGTATTTGGAATTACATGCTCTGTAACACAGAGCCTATTTCTGCTGAATAAACTGTGGATACATGTGGTATTTCTGTTTCCAATCAAAGTTTCTATGTGGTTTGTGTCAGTCAGTTTACCTCGCCTTTTCAATCCCGAGGAGCCGGCATGCTCCTTCTTGTTCCTGGACTCCAAGATTTAAGACCATGTCAACAACCCAAAGCTTTCTGTGACGATCCTTTGCAACAATCTCAGTCTTAAGTCTCAATGATATTGTTACTCAACTAAGCCCCAACTATGGTTTCATAGCTGGAAAACTAGGTAATGAAACCGGTGGACTTACCCTGGCCCTGGTCAAAGTCTCCTCCCGGGGCTGTCCAAGATAGAGTCACCTCATCTTCTAATTTTACAGCCTCCAGGTCAATAATTTTGCATGGTGGGAACACATCACGATGGGGGTTAGCTGGAACTCCCAGCACAGAAAAGGAACCCCCAGAGCTTACTCGGCTGAAACCCCATGCTTGTTCCTCCTCACTTCTGCCCATTGACTTTCTTGGGGGATTCATCTGAATATTACCTGGAACAGCAAAAAACAAAACAAACCAACAACAACAAAAAAAAACAGTGACAGCAACAATGAAAAATATCCTGAATAGGTTAACTTGTTCTTGACAGATTATTATTCACCATCACCAAATCATAACATTGATTGCACATTAAAACCTTTTTAAAATAATTATTTTTAGAATTGCTGAGTTTGTTTATTCAATAATTAATTAATTCAGTCAGTCAGTCACTC